TAATATGAGGTGTATTCACTCAAGGGCGCTCGTGGCAAAGTGGCAAAGTGGCAAAGTGGTTAACGTGTCAAGCTCCCATTCTGCACTGTCACGGTTCGACTCCTGCTGGGGGTGTTGATATGACCGATGCGAGGTCGAAACTGCAGTCCACTCTGGATGAGAACAGCGTATGGGAAAGCAAGGCTATGTGAAATTCAATGAAAACGTCAGCTCTACTTATATGATTGTGGGAAAATTCTACTACCAGTTCTTTATCACCTTAAATGAAATAGGGTGAATATACTTCAAATTGCTGATTTATTGGCCATCTCGAAACTCTACTTACATACGACAAATTCCCTTTGTTCAGGCAATATGTAGTCACCATGCAAAATAGTGACTTCCACTTGTCTCGATATCATTTCCAACCTTAAATTGTCAGTGGATGATTGAGACTAATTAATCATCTTGAGAACAGCTGCAACCTGTTCCTTACTACTCATTCTAAGTTAGTAGTTGCTTCAATTTAAATGGTAACTGGATCTTTGCCCCACCAGCATAATGCATTTTGGATGAAATTCATTGGTTTTCTCCTTTTTATTACTCTAGGTTTAAAATTATCCAAGCTCACAAGTGTGACCACATATTAGTAGGGGTTGAATATTGGATGACATAAAGATCAAAGAAATTCTTCAGTTCGGCCCTGGAGATTGAAAGTAAAATAGAAAACGCTAAAACTAGCGATTTTGACTCCTTTTTATCAAAAACGATTCTTTTGTTTCTTCTAAGGCGCATTTTCGTAAAAACTAGCAAGCGAAATATGAAAATTCAGATTGATGATTATTTTGCGACTTCATAATTACGGCAAGAAGGCTGGGTTAGGTAAAAACGAATTAAATCTAATCTACTTACCATTAGAAATGCAGCTGCATCCGGTTCTTTGAGCATCTCTATGCAGAACTGAATCAGTCCCGTGCATCTCATCAACTGACTTGAAGTGTTGGCGATTTGGTCACGCAAGGTACGCGACTTAGCCTCCTTTGAAAGACTAATCTCTCGACGAATTCGGCACCTAAGGTCGTCAAGAGCCGTTTGTAAGCAGTCTATCTCTGTCTGAAGAGCCAACACTGTCTTCTCGTAGTTCGGCTGATGGTTACGAAAAGAAGAGAAAAAGGTGATTAAGAGTTAGCCATCAGTAGTATAGAGTAATTGATATTTAAGGTCTTATCTGTCTTGGTATGACAGCCCCAATATATGTTTTATGCGATTATGCTTCGAAGATATAAGCAAAACTTGAATAAGGAATTTAGTCACCATGATTTGCTTAAGATGATTTAAGGACTGATTGCGTAATTTCACACAATTTAATGGATAGGCCTCACAAAAACCTTGAATTTTACTCAGCCTTTTCTACCCCAAGATTTTTCATCTATCCACAATGAAATTAGAAACCAGTTTGTGGAAACGATGGCTACCCAGCCTGGATGCCATTGGGTCACAGAACTGATTTGATTTTAAAGGTATAATAGATCTCTCCTCATTCGCATAGATGGTGGGAACGTTGATGAAGAATATGTGTATTCGCCCATTCACCTTACTAGAGCAGCAGAAAGCATATATTCAGTTGAATGTAGCTTTACTACTTCCTGGAGCCTAATTTCTTAATGATTTCT